TCAGAAGGAATATGGACACAACTGCCAGCAGCACATGGAGAGAAAGAGGCAGAAGGGGCAACAACACAGACCCTCAGACTCTGTTACCATGCAGGTGGGGAGCACAGTGGGCAGCACTGGCATGCAATCCAAAATGAAAATGTCACTGGATTTACATCAAGCAGCAACCGGCCTGTCAGCCCTGGAGCCTCAGATCCACCGCTTGAGCCAAACCCCAGGTCCACAGGAACCATCCAGGGTTGCTTCGCTGATGGCCCCAGGCTCAGAAGCAGGACTTGGAGACTACTAGGGAGGCCTCTGGATCCACACACTCTCATTTGCCAACATGTCAGTTATAAACCTAACAAAGGGCAAGTAAAGATGAGTTTGCAGTTCTGCTTGTTAGATGTGGACAAGGGAGAGGCGATTGCAGCCCTTAGCTCACCACAGATGTTCCCTGTGTCCCTGACCTTTCTGGTTGTCCCAAGATGGCATTGCAGTGCCTCTCTCTGTGGTAAAGCAATTATCCTGCTTATCTTCTGCCCTGCAGAATTGTGGTTATCTGAAAAAGCTAGTCTAAGTTGTATTTTTTTAAATTTTCTTTTTAAGTCTGTGTTAAAGATGGCTTTTGGAAGCATTCTGAGGAGAATGGCAGGTACCACAATGAACAGATCACACTGATTTTCCACCATTTCCCTTTCGCCCTGGGCAGTGAGTCAGGCCTGCTCTCGGACAGTTTGTGGAAGAAGGCAAGCCTGGAAAGAAAGAGGTGGCTATTTCTGCAATGAAGTCTTCTTTCTCCAATAAGAGACCAAAGTCCAGTGCTCCCTGCAACCAAGTTGCTTACCCAGAGGCGCCTCTTTTGCTGCCATGTCCAGAACTTGCTTCAGCCAAGCCCTTCAATTCAATTCCTCTCCCACTATTCCACACAGGATCTCATGTCTAGGCAAAAGCCTCTGCAACTGGCTTTGCTCAGGCTCAGGCTATACTTGCAGCTGAAGCTCTCACCAGCTGTGCTGCTCTGGACAGCACAGAGGGATGCCATTACCACGGGATGTCAGGCAAGAAGTGAGGGTCAGCCTACCCGGGTTAGATGGAGAGAGCAAGGCCCTGTCCTGCTGAGGGCGAAGGAAGTGCAGAGCCAGAAGCATCTGCTGCTGCTGGTGCCCATTCCCTGCTGCAAACATCCAGCCAGATGAGCACAGCAGCCCTGAGCATCCTGAAACAGCAAGTGCTTCCCTCACACATGCACCAGGGTCACGCACCGCTGCCTCAGCAGCACTCCTCACCGAGCTGCTGGTCCCAAGCAGACCTCACGTGGTGTTTGCTCCCCCTGCTTTGAATGCCCCTGTTATAGTAGATTGTTATCTTTGTCACTGGCCAGTGACAGACATGCACCTGGGGACTGAGAATTGGGGTAAGCCCAGAAATATTCCCCACTCAAATAAAAAAAAATCCTGCTCTCATTACAGAGAAAAAGGTGCTATTAAAAGAATGAGGGACTGTTAAGAGTTTGGCGCTGGTGCAGAATGAACATGTTTTAGAGACCCAGAAGGTCCCGTGGAAAGGCACCTTTGAACCTTGGGGGGGCAAAAAGAAGATGAATAGGAGAGGTGAAAAATGAGAATTCTAGATGTTCCTTTACAGTCCTGTTTTGGGGACAACTGTAGGATGTAGAACTCTGCTCTGACCCAGCCATGTTTAAGAAGTGTACCATGCATTTTTAGTGCTCAACACCTGGCCTGAAGGCCTCACATAGTTCTGAGGAAATATCCCACAGGGTCTAAACCAGTATGTAGCTCCAGTGCTGCAGTGCTGCCCTTCACAGCCCCTTTGAACAGCAGCCCTTAATCCTGGGCTCATCTAGAAAGGTACATTTTTTTAGTCAGAAAGAATTACCCTTTTTTTTCCAGATGAATATAAAGGAAAATTCTGAGTCTAAGCAAATGCTAACCACAGTGTCCAATGCATGGCAGGGGCATGCCAGCAACCTGCTCCAAGGTGGTACTTTCCAGAAGGCATATCCTGGCCACTGGTCCAACGCAGTGTAAATTTTCATTAAAAAATTTTCATTAAAAAAAATACAACAAACCCCCCAGAATGGTGCAACATAGTAAGTCTTTAACTCTTTGCACGGCTCAGCACTAGAAGGCCATTACTGCAAAGGGGGAGCAATGGTGCCCACCTCCCCATGCCATGGACTCAGTCAGGGCAATGCTTCTCTGCAACATCTTGGAGCTGGAGGTGCTCCCTAATGGAGAACGCTCTCCTTGTCCACTTGTGGGCATCCCATAGGATTTACACGAGGAGATCTCTTGGGGATCAATACATGCACTGATCCCAAAGCCTGAAGACTGCTGCTCTCCCCACCCGTGGTTTGCAGGCTCCTGCTGCTGGTTCCTGCTGCTGGCTCCTCGTCCGCTGTCTGTCTGTGAGGAGCCCTCAACATTTTTCTGTGATATATCTCAGACATCACTTAACTGCACTGTGCATCTTGGTTTCATTTTTTAGGAAGCTGAAAGAGTTCAGGAAACAGGAAGCAACAGTGAGATCCAAACATCCCAGTGTCACAGGCATTTTTTTGCTGACACAGAGGTGTTCTCCCATCTTCCTGTGCTTTTGAGGAACCCTGCAACTTTCCTCTCTGCTTCTCTGCCCTTCAGGCTGGAGTAGAAGCCATTCCTCAAAGACTGCAAGTCAAAAGTGGGAAGGATTTTCCCTCTCACAGGCCCAAACCTTAGGAGAGAAAAACCCCCCTTTGCTTTTAAGCATTACGCCAACCTAAATAAATTCAGAGCTGTCCTAGAGAAAACAAAATGAAGCAGAGAAGCAGAAAAGGTCACCAGGCACTGCTGGCAGTGTTGCCACACTGTCAGCTTCTTTTCCCACTTCCTTTTCTGTTACTATTTTCTTTACCAGATGCTTCTCAAACTCCACATTCGTAGCAGGCTGCAGAGGCTGCCCACATGAATGGGCATGGCATACCAAACTGCTCCTGCACAGCACTGTGCTCTCAGCTACCTGAATTCCCCCAGGACCCCACTCCAGCCCTCCGCTCTCACTTGCCCCCAAATTCCCCAGGGACTCTTCTCTGACCCAGCGCTACATTTGTGATTGCCCTGAAATCCCCCAGGGCTTCAGCTCATAAAATACCATGGCTTTCTCTCATAGGCATCCAGGGGGGACTTTTTTTCCCTTCATGTAAGAGTGCTGCTGCCTTCGGAGGTGAACCAGGGCTCTGGAGATCTGGCACACAGAATATCAAGTGACTGCTGGTTGGTAAAAAAAATTGTCTTCCACAAAGTGCAAGCCCAACCATGCTCTGTCCTGTTTCTTGCTCCTGATTTGTGCTCCTGTCTCTTCCTCATCCACTGACTAGATTCCCTCAGCCACCTAGGCACCATCATCATTAAAAACAAAGGATAAAGCAAGGCAGTGGGATCACCAGGCACCTCAGGACACTACATAAAGCAGCACCATGGGACAAAGCAAAGACCAGACCTGGTTTGGGAGAGGTTGGGGTCACCAGGGAGCTGAGCTGGGCCACGCTGGGGCTGTGGGGAGAGCACTGGCCCCAAACACCAAAGGAGGTTGTCTCACTGAAGGAGATGGTCTAGAGAAGAGAGGTTTAAGAGAGACCTCATCGCTCTCTACAACTACCTGAAAGGCTCTCTACAACTATCTGAAAGGAGGTTGTAGTGAGGTGGGGGCTAGTCTCTTTTACCATGCCTACAGTGAGAGGACTAGAGGAAATGGCCTTAAGCTGAGACAGGGGAGATGTAGATTAGATATCAGAAAAAATTTTTTTGACTGTTCGGGTGGTCAGGCGTTGGAATAGGTTGCCCAGGGAGGTGGTGGGAGTCACCATCCCTGGAGGTATTCAAGAAATGTCTGTTTCTGACACTGGGTGATGTGGTTTAGCGGGTTAGGGTGGTGATGCTGGGTGGATGGTTGGACTGGATGATCTTGAGGGTCTCTTCCAACCTCGATGATCCTATGAGGGAGCAGGCACACGAGCAAAGGTAAAGGCTGGAGAAAGGAGTGGAAACACAAACCAAGGCCAGGGAAGAAACTTGGTCTGTCCCCAGAGCAGACAGAGAGGGGCCCTGCTCCCACCACCCCGCAGGGGCTCAGCCAGCAGGAGGGAGGGAAGGGGGGAGCCACTCACGCAACCCGCGAGCAGGGGAAACGCTCAGAGCCCCTTTCATTTTTACTCCATTTTATTATTATTTTTTTTT